CCCCCCATACACACCTCTAATGCTTTTTCGACCCCTGGGACTAAAACTGTAGTGATACATTTAATTCCAATTCTCTTATCTTTCTCATCCACTTTGACTTTGTACACAATTAGATTCTCTTCTTTTCATTGGAAGGAAAACAGAATAAAAATACGTTCAATTATGCTGAATATGCGCTTTCACTAGGGCAAATTCCCAGTGTTGACTTTTAATCGAATAAGATGAGACATGCAAGACATTGTAAATAATGTATTTCAGAAATTATTATACGAGGAAATTATATTTTCGGCACATGTTCCAAAAAAAATAAAGCATTTGTTTGTATGTCATGAACCCGTTGCCTATTATCCCTGAATTCTTCATTTTTCTCTGCATAAAACTCTCATTAAGCCCAAACAACCTTTCCAGAAACTTTGAAATAAATGGGAAAAATTTTCCACAGCGGAAAGGCCAATAATTATAATTTATGTACGTGAGAATAAGCATCACGTGTTTTTTACGTAATAAAAAAATTGGAAAAGTTCGCACAGAGTGAGAGAAAAAAAAATAACAAAAGGTGCATGAAATCTTCCACAATGCATCTCCCATTACGCAAGAAAAAAAGAAGATTGAAGGAAATCTCTGAGAGATACGTGTGCGACTAGACTTACCGACACATGTGGCAACGAGCCAAATAGCCAGGAGGTGGCATCCCTTGGTGGTGAACCTGTAAACAGAAAGTAGAGCCAATTGTTGGTTGAATCGAGAATATACTTGTTTCTGGGGTACATATCCCCTAGATGTGTAGAGGGGGCTCTCGTTAAACTAAATTACAGTGGGCGTAACACGACGACTGATAAACTTGGGGTTCCCCATTGTTTTGGCCCGAGACAGGTGACGTAATTGCATTCTGTTTTTGATAAAAATCGAAACAGTTGGTATTGAGCTTGTAAGAACAGTCGAGATAAATTCCAAGTTTTTCCTTTGGCACTTTGTATATATCATAAAAAACACGATAACTGTCTGATATGAAAAGTAATGTTCCCAATTGTACTCTGGTGGCTCCTAATTTCCCTTTCAAATTGAGGAGAACACGCAATCGTGTTTTTTCATCAATGATGAGCAATCAACTCTCATATCTCTCAGGAAGAATGCACCGATGAAATAAAATGAAATTGAAAAAAAAATGATAGAGAGGTTGAACTGTCGCGCGCAATTAAGCTCTGCCCCGAACACAGATCCCGGCTAATTAACGCGTAGGGACATCTATAGGTCGTCGCAGATGGCGTCCACCTCGTTTCACTCGCAAGCTCAACTCGCAAAATATTAATATTTAATAACTCTGAATTCAGAGTAGCTCTATAGTACTTGACTGCGAACGGCCGTTCTTTATATCCACCATTCTCACTTGTCCCAGCGTGTAACAACGCTCGACGTCCCAGTTAGGGTCATTTAATCTTGCTCTAATTATTCTCACCGAGTACCTTGCCCACTCTATCGTGTGTGAATCGTAATTCTTGTAACTCTTCCACCAACACATTTCACCCTTTCCGGCAAAAAAAAAAAAAAAATTATTACCTACGTTAAAGTGGCTTTGGTCAGCGTCACTCGAATTTAATTGACACCAATTAGCCGGGCTCAACAACGAGCGTAAAAAACTTTTAATGTCGCTTTCCGACTTTTTTTCAACTGGTGCTTGAAAAATGCCAACTTATTCATTACTTTTTTTTGATAATGTTTCGTTCACCGACCTAAGTTGTCAAATTCTTGCAATCATTGCAATCACGATAAGTCAAATCGTCTGGATTCATTGGAAGCATCAAATTGGGGAGGAAGCACAATTTTCATGAATTTTCCTTGATAAACTAGATGTTGCTCGAGTATCAGCCTGGATTATAAATTCACATCTGATTTTCAACATCTTCATCTCCTGCGGTGCTTGGATTTATTATCATTTTAAGCGGTTTAGCGTACAGACGAGAGAAACTTAAGCCGGTAAAGCTCGTCGAGGAATACCCTCATGTTGAGACGAAAGGTACGATATATATGGCTGCACCATATCCAATTCCATCAGCATTCTGGTTCACTTAATTCCCGTGTAGCTACTATATCATGCACAATTAACCTGAAATACTGAATGAGAATGATGAGGTGGAGATATATAACGGATTGAAAAAGCAAGACAATCCCCTTCTGTACCTTGCTTAATCTCCCGACGAATTCGATTGAAATGCTCCATCACAACTCGATAACGTCGCAAGGGTAATTCGGCCGTTCTGCAGTGGTAAGTCACCAGCAGAGAATCACTGGACGTACCATTCAACTCCAAACGATTCAATTTAATCCTCTCTCGCTCTCTCCGACCGAAATTCGACGATTAATTTCGCCTCTTCTATCAAAATACCATCCGGATTTCATCCCTTAATCTCTACGGCAAACTCATGATTTAGGAGATCTATTAATTCCCTTTTCAATGGCGAAAAAAAATCACCATACTAATTTGAGACTTATGAACGACGGATTGCAATAACTTGGCAATATTTAGCGATATCATGCAAAATGAAATACAATTTTGCATTAAACCGCTTCGGCAAGTATGAAAAGACAGTCTCATCCTTCACTTGAACCTTTTTAAATCCATAATGTGCACATTATGTTGAACCATTGAATGCTTGCCTCCAAACGTCAATACCTCATGCTGCAAACACGAGTCCACTCCGGCGTCTAACCCATCCCCCATCCCCCAACCCCTTTTTCGAGTCCTCATTTCACTTTGGGCTTTAATATTCGACCACAGAGATTGGTTTCCCTCTCTTGGGCCAGTTTCCGACGTATTCCGCGAGTGAACATCCAAATCCGATATTTTCATTTCCCTCCCGACGAGTTATCTCCATCTCCCTTCCTCATTACATTCAAAACCCCCCTACCTAAGCAGTACATTCTACTCTATTTTCCGTTTCTCTCCGTCCCTTTCCCTTTTGCCCCTTTCATACATAACATGGTTCTCGTTTGGTAAACTCCACATTCAACTTTTACTTGAATCTCCTGATTTAGAAACTTTCCAATGCCAATTTATTTTCAAGGGTCCATCAAAAGTCGAAAAAACTTTTTCTCAATTATTCAGGGGAAGATTGGACGACGTTTCCTTTCTTTGACGTGACTTCCTTTTTTCAATGGGGGCAAATGAGTTATGACCATGATTATTATTTACTACCTTAAGTTCAACACATGATAATTATGCATTTTCAAAATATATCTAAGCGCCCATTAGTCTGGAATACAATAAATTGAATAAAAACTAATCAAAGTTATAAAACTCCATCACAATAAATCGAATTGAATGAACATCCAGCAAGTTTAATAGAGTGATAAAGAAGTTTCTCACAGTGAAATAAAAATAACACGTTATATACCAAGTATATAGAAGCAATGCAGTTTTAACAGTTAATTTTATGTAATCGTTGAAGTTTTAGGAGCCCTCAAAAAGTGCACTAACGAGCTTTCAGCCACTATTGTTACGTTTATTACAAAAGTTTTATTTTTTCACTCTTTGTTTTCCAATGTTGCTACTTCCACTGCGTTTCAAGTTTTTCCTTGTATCAAGAACCACGTTCTTACGAAATCACCATTGCCTTTAAAGTTATCAAGTTTATTAAGAACTTTCTTTTCTCCCGTCAACAACATCTCTCACTTGAGTTTGAAAACAAAGATTGATACTTCTACTGATGGAAAGATGAAATCTTGTCAAGTGCTCCAGGCATCTGGATGCGTCAAATATCATTTTTCTGAAAATCTCTCCCCACAAAAGAAAAAGTTGGCATATTTTACCAGTAAAATCCCCCGGCGTTGAATAATCCTCAAAATTTTGAATCACAAATGGATGAGGATAGTGCACACTGATTCTCCGCGTCTTTATCAGAAATCACAATAGAATTTCATGTTCCAAGTCTTGCGCCACCCGCCAAAACCTCATCAGCGATGCGCGCAGAGCATCCGAGAAACTCATTAACAAAACGTTTTTTGCATCAAACTACCTCCTACCCCTTTGGCTGGCTAGAGTCATTCACCTCTATTATGGTGGGATATCGGTAAAATGTCGACGTGACAGGAAGCAACCGAGCGTTGTACATGAATGTAATATCCGTTAATCCTTCATGTAAAACGCATTTGGGCAAGAAACGTGACGCATGGGAGAAGTCAAAGGAGTGCACTCTGTCTCAATGTACACAAAATCCTCTGGAATACTCTCTAGTAGCAACGATAATCGAGACCGCGAATATCAGTGCCAACTTTCTTACCCAAAGTTTTCGGACTGTATTGGACGATCGTAAAAACACGGGGAAAGAGGGCAAAGAAGGAGAGACGAGTAAACTTTTGTGGGACTTTTCGTTTCCATGCGAAGCTAAAAATCCGAGAGGAAAGATTCAGATTGTAAGGAATGTCGAGAAAAGTGAGGACACAATGGAAACAACCCAGGTAGGAATTGACGATAGAAACAGGACTCGTCAAGCCTTGGAGCAAGGCTTGGAAATGCGCAACCAAGGCTGGAGCTCAGCCTTGCATCAGCCCTCCTTCAGCCCCAAAATGATAACCTCGTTTCAGACTTAGTCTATAAGGCTTGAACAATGCTTGGCGCCAAGGCTTGGTCCTTGAATTACAAAATTTTGAAGGCTCTTCTTTCAAATAAATCATATCAATGTTTACGGATGTGTTCAAATAATTTCTTATTGCTTCATAACCCCTTTTATGAATCCAGAGCAACTTATGAAAAAGACTGACGGGACTATGTATAGTTCCTCGTATGAAATTTTTTTTTTATTTCTGCATTTCTGGGGCAAGTGAGGGACGCAGTGGTATTAGGCGGGCCAGGAAATACAGAATCAACGTTCACTCGGCGGAAAAATTCGATTTTGGCGAAAGTCGACTTTCCCCCCGAAAAAAACCTCAATATGGCACTTTGGCTCCGGGTGAAAAAAAAAATTTATTTCTGCATTTCTGGGGCAAGTGAGGGCCTCAGCGGCATTAGGCGGCCCAGAAAATACAGAATCGACGTTCACTCGGCGGAAATATTCGATTTTGGCGAAAGTCGACTTTCCCCCCGAAAAAAGCCCAATTATGGCACTTTGGCTCCGGGTGAAAAAAATTTTTTTTTTATTTCTGCATTTCTGGGGCAAGTGAGGGCCTCAGCGGCATTAGGCGGCCCAGAAAATACAGAATCGACGTTCACTCGGCGGAAATATTCGATTTTGGCGAAAGTCGACTTTCCCCCCGAAAAAAGCCTAAATATGGTGCTTTGGCTGCGGGTGAAAAAAAAAATTTTTTCATTTCTGCATTTCTGTGGCAAGTGAGGGTCTCAGGGGCATTAGGCGGGCCAGAAAATACAGAATCGACGTTCACTCGGCGGAAAAATTCGATTTTTGGCGATTTTTCCACAAAAAATTTTTTTTTCAACATGAAGTATTGACAAACACCAAACGATTCCTACTGGAGTATATTCCTCAGGAATTCCTCAGTGTAGTAGGGTGAAAAGATAATTTTTTGCGATTTTTCCACAAAAAAAAATTCTGCTTACATGGGGGAACAAAATAGTAGATACCTAATAGGCTCGTGGGACAGTGATGAATAATTATGCCGCCGTACATAACAAGAACAAAGGCATAATTCTCAACTGAAGAATTTCGTAATTTGCAGGAGAAACGAGAACGTAATGATAATGAAAGTGAATGA